GCCTGAAAATATTCTGCAGAGTTCTCTTGTAAACATAAGTTGATTCATTTTTAATATTTGCAATATTAAATTTAAATCTTGTCATTAATTGTCGCATCGAGTTTACATTAATCAAGAAGTCTTATAAAATGTTAAGATTATTGGAATACTTTCTATAGAATATACTATACGCTATTTCATATTTTTCTAAGAAATATTATTTCTCAAAAATATTATAACAATAAAAATATTTTTTTCAAGAGGCAGATTACTGAAAGAGACATTTGGCATTTAGTAATTTCTTTCATAATTTCTTGTTTCTCTTTGTACTTTCAAACATGTTTGGAACGATTGATCAAGATTCAGAAGTAGCATTATCTTTTACAGTATGTAGAAACACGAATAGGTGGAACTCTACGTGAAAACCGACATAATTGGGAATGTCAACGGAATTTACGGTCTACTAAAGTTCCGTTACGATCCACTAAAAGCGTATGCCTCTTCTTCCACAGACGTTGCTCATGTGTGAGGCATCAAAGGCGGTCGTCACGATGCGTCCGACACGCAAAAGTTTGTAGATTCTGCGGTAAGATTGGAGATAGAAAAATATTATGCCGTTAGAGCGAAGGAATAAGGGAGAAGCGGCGATCTGGATCCCAGATCTTGTCTCGGAGTCATTAGTGAAATGACAAACTCTGTCGGCAAGCCGTACTGGTGGCATCTTTTCTCTTGTTGCCATCGTCGATACACGCGAGTCGATCTAGTAAATCGTTTTTCGCTGAACTCACACATTCCACGAACGTGTAAAGTTGTATAGGTAAAAAGCATTGGAATGCAACTTTAATGAAACGTCACTATATCATTAATAATAACTCTCTGTTTTTATAAGCGTGAGCTAGAATAAATTTATACAAAATATTCAATCTGAGAAAATCAGATTTCTTTTTTTACATATATTTATATTTATATAAATCAGTTTTAACTTTAAATATAAATGGGTAATTCTTAATAATTATGTATAATTATTTTTTATACAATTCAGGATTTTTTTTTGTATTTTATTGATGCCCCTTGAAGCATATTTCCACGATTAACTTCCAGTGATATTCGTTGCGCGCATACATAATCTATGCGACTAATTTCAGAGTTAGGTTGTAAGTGGCCGTGTCAGTCCCTTGATTGTCTCGAGGTAAACTCGAAGCGAGGGATCAAAGCAAAATTCGGCATCGTAAGATGACAGAGTGGCAGGCGGCTGCGGTGACTCTGAGATAAGATTTCTACAAGCGATGTACGGTCAGATAAAAACTGATAGGTATCTTTAAGAAGGATCGCCGACAAAAATATGGTAGGCCGTCTCTTCGGAAAGTCACGAAGGGCTCATATGTGTAAAATATGAAAAATCCTCAAAATATGATAATGAAATTAACAATTTTATTTATTTTCTTCACATTTTGGATACTTTGGTCACTCCGGGATTCAAAATGCTAAATAGTATATTTGAGCTGCGCTTCAGT